AGGGGAGGGAGAAGAGCAAAGCAAAGCGAAGCTCAGGTTTCTGGCTACTCTGCCGCTGGTAGCTGCACACTGCCAGGCTCACCCTCCCTGATGCCCAGGCCGCAGCTCTGTGCCAATGACAGTCTCTTCTGCCTATCCCAGGAAGACATGGCCTCCCGGCCTCCCCCAGCCATTCTCCCCGCCACCAGGGTCCCCACTCCTCTTCCTTGGGCTGCAAGGCCACTGCTAGGGGCAGTGGCACCAGGAAAGCTGCCATCAAGGCGCCCCCGGCTGGAGATGGCAGGGACTGAGGGCTATCTGGCGCCTTCCCTGCCGGACAAGGAGGTGGAACGCTTGTCATTCCAGCTCATTGGCCTGGAAACAAATGTTCCCCCAAAGACAGCAGGCGGGCTGAGATGGGTGAGGCCTGCCAGGGCTGTGGCGGGTGGGCTCGGACGGTGGGGGTGGGTGAGGGTCTGCGGGGCCTCCCTGGCCGACGTGCACATCTGCGGCTTGGAAGGGCAAATCCGGGCACAGGCCCCGTGTGCCCACTTCACACTGCAGTCAGGGATGGCGAGGAGGCTCCCAGCAAGGCTGGAGAGCACCGTCGCTCGCCTCCCCGGCCGCCCGCCCCTGCTGCTGCCTCCAGCCCGGCAGCCCGGCAGCCACTGCATCTGAAGGGTCATTTCGGAGAGCGCCTTATCACGAATGCTGGTGCAAACACTTGTAGTGAAGCGGGTTCCCACTTCCTAACGCAGCTCTGGGCCTGGCTCCACAGCAGTCTTAACTGTTTGCTGTCTGGGGACTTCCCCTACCTGGTGTCCACACACCACAGGGACAGCACTGGTGACCACCAGGCCCCGTTCTGTAAACACAACCCGGGAGGGGGAGTCCCACCCTAAAAGCCCGGGGACGCCAGCGTCTGCCCCGGGACAGCAGCTGGGGTTTCTGTCCTGCTGCGGGTGTGGTTTGCAGCTGCCATTGGAGGGGCACAGGCGCACGCCTTCCTTGAGTCTGGTCTGGGGCCAGCACCCAGGGCAGTCGGAACCCTGCCTGGCGGAGGGACAAGGAGCTGGCCTCTTGGGGGTGCCTGGCCTCTGGGGTGTGCAGTCCAAACGGCAGACAGGTGGCCCAGGCTGAAGGGCCACACTGGGGTTACGCTCCCAGCCGGGAGGCCCAGCTCTCCAGGGAGGGGCTTGGTGAAGATACAGGAGAGACTGCACGGGAAGCGCTGGGCATCGCAGCTGGCTGTCACACAAAGGGATCCCTGTAGGGAGTACGTGGAACACCGGGCAGGAAGTGCCCGCACGGACAGGAAGACACCCCCCCCCCAGAACTGTGGCCCTGGGGACACACTGACCATGCGCCCTGTGCGCACACAGTGACGAGGGTGCCCTCCTCGAGCTGCGGCTGGGCAGACAGAGGCTGCTCCCGGGCAGAGCTGTGCAGCCTGGGCCGGCTGTCAGCAGAGGGCCTGGTCTCACAGGGCACTGAAGTAACACGGCGGCTTGGCACGAGCAGCGTGGTGGGGCCGGGGCGGGGAGAGCGGGATGCCCCAGCTCGGCCCCCACGGCTCCTCTGTAGGCCTGGGGCCGGGCGGGGCAGACCCTCCCCTCCGGCCAGGCGCTGGGCCTGGGCTCTGCTGGGAGAGTGGCCGGGAGAGGTGGGAGCTGTGACCACAGCGCCCCCTGAGGCTGTTCTGGGCGAGGGCGGGACAGGCTGGAGGGCATGACGGGGGGACCCACACAAGCCCTTCAGGCGTCTCCCTCACCTCCTGGGCCCCTGGACTTCTCCTGGGGACTTATCTCGGAGAGACTTCCAGGAAACAGGAGCTTTGGGCAGACTGGGGAGGAGGGAGGTCCCATGTGGACACCCACACCCCCCCACAGCACCCAGCCTGCCCTGCCAGCCAGTCCTGAGCACCCCGTCCTCCCCGCCTGACGGCTTGCGCACAACCAGAGACTCCTACGGGCAACAACCAGGAAGATGACAGAGCTGCAGTCCCAGGGGAGCGCATTTGGCCCAGGTTGCTGGGGATGCCCGAATTCCACGCCAGAGCGCCTGGGGCCGAGCCCTGGCTCTGCTCCCAATTCCAGCTTCCTGCTCACGTGCACCCAGGGACAGCAGGTGCTGGCTCAGGTAGTTGGCATCCTGCCACTCACGGGGGAGACCCGGATTGAACTGCAGGCCCCTGGCTTTGGCCAGGTCCAGTTCCAGCTGTTACTAGCATTTGGGGAATGAACCAGTGGATGGGAGATGCGGGCCCCTTTCCCCGTTTCCCTCCCTCCCCGCTCCCTCCCTCCTCCCTACTTCTCTCTTCCTCCTTCTCTCTCCCCTTCTGCTTGTCAAATAAAATAAAAATAAGGTGCTAGAAAGTTTGGAACCGGGGGCCAGCACCGTGTGTAGAGGTTGAGCCTCCATCTGCAGTGCCAGCATCCCGTATGGGCACTGGTTCAAGTTCTGACAGCTCCACTTCCAATCCAGTGCCCTGATAATGCACCTGGGAAAAGCATCGGAAGATAGCCCAAGTGCTTGGGGCTTTGTACTCATGTGGGAGACCGAGCTGTAGTTTCAGGCTCCTGGCTTTGACCTGGCCCAGCCCTGGCCAATGCAGCCATTCGGTGAGTGAACCAGAGATGGGAAATTAATCAATCTCTCTCTGCTTTTCAAATCAATCAATCAATCGATCGATCAATCTTTAAAACAACAAACACAAATATAGTTTTTTCTTTTTTTGGTTTTTTTTTTTTTTTGACAGGCAGAGTGGACAGTCAGAGAGAGAGAGAGAGAGAGAGAGAGAAAGGTTTTCCTTTTGCCATTGGTTAACTCCTTAATGGCCGCCACAGCCGGTGCACCGCGCTAATCCAAAGCCAAGAGCCAGGAGCTTCTCCTGGTCTCCCATGGGGTGCAGGGCCCAAGCACTTGGGCCATCCTCCACTGCACTCCCTGGCCACAGCAAAGAGCTGGCCTGGAAGGGGGGCAACCGGGACAGAATCTGGCGCCCCGACCAGGACTAGAACCCGGTGTGCCGGCGCCGCAGGTAGAGGATTAGCCTATTGAGCCGCGGCGCCGGCCAGAAATGTAGTTTTTAAGGCACTAAGGTACTGGTATAAGATCAGGGTGATAAACGAAAGTAAAAAGTTCAGAAATAGATCTAAAGTCGAGTCCTCACATAGGGTGAAAGTGGCCTCTGGACGAGGAAGGAAGGACTGCCCAGTCGCTGTGGAACCATTAGAACAAAGTGAGATCACACAGTCACTTAAAACCAGATTCAGATGTTTATAAAAGTGAACACTTCACCAGCAAGTCACCACACAGAGATGTGTTTTTGATCTTTGAGTAGGGAAGACCTTTCTGACCATGGGGCCAGGAGCCATGAAAACAGATTACAGATTCAAATATGCTGGAATTAAAAAAAAAAATTGCTATGGCCACACAGATCAGCAAAGTCAAATGATGAACGACAAACCAGGAAGAAGCGCCTGCACCCTGAGCCGGGGCCCATTTCCCAACCCCACGAAGAGCTTCTGAAGAGGCATGAGTAGAATGCCAATCCCACAGCCAAAGAGGAGGAGGTCTGAGGGGCGGCGGGTAGAGAAGGAAACACAATTGGAAATGCCGAATTGGGGCATTAGCTGTGCAGTGGGTAATGGCATTCTTCATCAGGACAATGCACATTACAACCAGAGAGGTGCGGCTGGCACTGTGGCGCAGCCGGTACAGCCACTGTCTACGACACCGGCTGCTCCACTTCCAATCCAGCTCTCTGCTAAGGCCTGGGAAAGCAGTAGATGATGGCCCAAGTCCTCAGGCCTCTGAACCTGCGTGGGAGACCCGGAAGAAGCTCCTGGCTCCTGGCTTCCGATTGGTGCAGCTCCGGCTGTTGTAGCCAACTGGGGAGTGAACCAGCAGAAGGAAGACCTCTCTCTCTCTCTCTTTCTGCGCCTCTCTGTGTAACTCTTTCAAATAAATAAATACATCTTTTTAAAAATTTTTTAAAAAAACCAACCAAGCAACCAGAAGAGGAGCCCTGTTTCCGATCAGATGGGCACATGTCAGCGACGGCTCTGTGGGGCACATCTCTACTTTGCAAGGACAGTGAGGAGACTTGCAACACGGTGCCCTCTATTTGCTTTCCTTCTTTTTTTTTTTTTTTTTAAGATTCATTTATCTATTTGAAAGGCAGAGTTAGAGAAGGAGAGAGAGAGAGAGGTCCTCCATATACTGGTTCACTCCCCAGATGGCTGCAATGGCTGGGACTGAGCCAGGCTGAAGCCAGGAGCTTATCATCCGGGTCTGCCCTGTGGGTGCAGGAGCCCAAGCATTTGGGTCATCTTCTGCTGCTTTCCCAGATGCACGAGCAGAAAGCTGGATCAGAATTGGGGCAGCTGGGACTTGAACCCGTGCCCATATGGGATGCAGGCGCTGCAGGTGGCAGCTCTACCTGCTTCACCACAGGGCCGACCCTTCTGTCTTTTGAACAAGGTATTACACAGTCAACAATGAACTGCAACACATGAGAAAGGACAAGGACTCCCACATGGGTGCAGGTTCCCAAGGGATGTAGGCCCATATTCTATTTTTTCCCAGGCCATAGCAGTTTCCCCCCCCCCCCCCCCCCGTGGGTCAGCTCTGCCTGGGGATCCTTCCTCACACTGACATCTCCCATGAGTGACATCTCCACTGGCCTGTGGTGGAATGAGAAGGCCATATCAACATAGCCGCTGGCAAGCGAGCGTCAGTTACTCAGGAATGGCTTTGAAACCCACCTGGCAACGGAGCCTGCCTGGCAACAGGCTGTGACTGGATGGCTTTGGAAACTGCCTGGCAACAGGCTGTGATTGATTAGGGCATAAACTGCCCCTTGACCGGATTGGCTGCCTTGCGATCTAAGCTGCTGTACCAACTGAAATAAACGAGTCTGCGGGCTGCTGGCCTCTGGCCCTCTTTCACCCGACTCCCGGGGTCTGTGTGGTGACTCTGTGCCTCTTGTCCCTACCACGCTCCTCCTCTCAGAACGAATCCACAGCAACACTGGCCCCTGGGATCTGACTGCCGCATTGACCTGCCCCTTCTGGCTGACTCCCAGACTCTGTGCGCTCCGCGAGGACCAAGCAGCAGGACCTGTCCTGCTGGGAGCTAGGCCTGGCCGCAGCGTGCGCCCGCCCCTCCCACCGAGGTGCCAGTGGGTACAGTTCTAACTGTGCAGTCAGGGGAAGGAAATGCCTCATGGAGGGGACCATCGAAGCCCAGAGGCGACTCAGGAGTGAGTGTCGAGCAGCAGGGGTGTAGGAAGAGGCACAGCACTGCTGGCTGCTCCTCGTCCCCCCAAGACTCATGCCTCCTAAGCGCCGAACCGTGGGATTCACCCAGCTCTGGGGCCCCTGTGTGCCACAGCCCTTGACTCCAGCTCACCACTACCCCCTTCCCTTCCTGTACCACCACCCTCTCTGGTCAGGAAGTGCGCCCCTCCCTTCCGACTCACTGTGGCCCCGGGTCATGGGTTCTTGGCTGTTCATGGACATTTCGGCCCTTCGTGAATGGAGTGCTCACTGTGAGCCAGGCTCGGGAGCAACAGAGCCAGCCAGCACCCCCTCCATGGCCCTGGTGCTGCTGGGGGCAGCGGGCTCTGTCCTGGGCAGCTTTGTGTCCCCCCATGTCCCCTAGGACCTCCAGAGGAGCATGCACCAGAAGCCACCAGAAACCCACCTGCAGCCCTGTGTGTGCCGTGAGTGGTGCGCCCACAGGCTGGGGTCCAAGGCAATTGTGGCCTGCAAGGTGCACCCAGACGGGGGTGGGCTGGGGACGTGGTTCAGGGAATCAGATGGAAATGCACCACACAGGTGCTCAGAACCCCGCGAGAGAAGCCTGCACCCCTAGGGGAGCGGGACTAAGGAAGCGGTCCGAGAGAGGGAGAGGGAGGCCAGGGGCAAGGGGCTGAATGTGGAGAGGCTGGGAGGGCCCGAGAGGTGTCACACAGACAGGCTGAGTGTGTCTGTCCCTCACGGAGCGGCTCATCCAGGGAGCAATGGCAGCAGTGGAAGAGAATTTAAGGTGGGAATGACATGGTAGCATTAGCACCCTGCTCATTTAAAGGCAAAGTGACAGAGAAAGAGGAAGAGAGGGGGAAGAGATCTTCCATCTGCTGGGTCACTGCCCACATGGCCGCAACAGTCAGGGCTGGGCCAGGAACTCCACCCGGCTCTGCCATGAGGATGGTAAGGACTCGAGTATGTGGGCCACCACGTGCTCCTCCCCTCGGTGTGAATAGCAGGGAGCTGGGTTGAAAGTGGAGCAGCCCGGAGCTGAATCAGTGCTCTGATATGGGAGGAGGGTGTCCCAAGTGGCCACTTTACCTGCTGTGCCACAGTGCCGGCCCCAGCATCAGGGTTTTAAAAAGAGTTCACTGGAGCCAGCCTGGTGTGGTGGGTTAAGCCTTTGCTTCTGTTGCTGGCATGGGTATCAGGGCATGTTCAAGTCCCAGCTGCTCCACTTCCAATCCAGCTTCCAGAAAGCGTGCTTGGGAAGGCAGCAGATGACGGCTCAGGGACGATGGTGGCCCCTGCACCCATCTGGGAGACTGGCACGGAGTTCCTGGTTTCAGCCTGGCTCACACTTGGCGGTTTGGGGAGTGAACCAGTGGATGGAATCCCTGTGTCTGTCTGTCTGTCTGTCTCTCTCTCTCTCGCAATCTGGATCAGGGGCAGCAGAGGGCGGGGCTGTGTGCAGTGAGCTGTGCTGGGAATCACGTGGCTGCAGGGCTTCCAACCTGGACTTCCCACTTCCACACTGGGAGATTCTGGGCGAGGAACTTAACTTCTTCCTACATCACTTCTCCCATCTGCAAAATGGGATGATCACAGCACCTACATCGTAAGGATGCTGAGAAGGTTACGCGAGTGACGCAGGCCTGGCACACAGCCAGGGGAGGGCTGCCATTGTCCGGGCCCTGTCTCTGCCCCCACGGCCCCCTGCCCCTGCCCCCGTGTCCAGCTCCGTGCAGGCAGCCCTTACCTTGTGCAACCAGTGTAGGTTCATCTGCTGCCCCACAGCGATGTGACATAGTGCCAGGACCTGAGGGGGACCCAGAGGGTGATAGTCAGTCCCCCTCCAAAGCCTCCCCCATCTCTTCTCCCCACTGCTGCCCTGTACCCAGCACAGAGTGGAGCCAGCCTCCTCCTCCATGCAGGCTGCCCAACTGAACGCCTCAAATGTTTGGGGAGCTCCAGGTCCCAGGATTCTGAAAGACTTGAGCCCCGGCCCTCGGGGGCCCCAAACGGCATGGGGACCGGCCTGAGCGTCGGTGAGTGGAACGCTGTGGGGAGGGAGCCAAAGCCGAGGCTCCCAGGAAAGACCGTCCGCAGTGGCCCTGATGGCCAGGATGGCTCTGCTGGGTCACAGGAAGCGGTGGGCAACTGGCCAAAGCAAAAGGACCTCCCGACCCAGGTTTCCGAGTGCAGAAGCCCAAACAGCTCTCTTCAGACCAGCCCAGGCCAAGTCCCCTCCCACCTCAGGAGCGAGCCAGCCCTCCCTGAGACCGCCCCACGTACCAGGAGGCCTGCGACGTACGTGAAGGCGGCGGCTGTAGTTACGAGGATGGGCACGGACCAGTCGCTCCAGTAGCCCATGCGGTTGTAGAGGTACCTGTGGGGAGAAGAGGCAGGGCTCAGACCTCCCCAGGCCGCTGCCTGGCCCAGGAACCAGGATGGCCTCAGCCAGGCTCTGCCCAGGCATCAGTCATGCCTGCTCACGGCGACACCCAGGGACCAAGAAGCATAAATGAGAAAACTGCCTGGAACTCTGCTGCCCAGAGGATAGGTGACCAGGGCTGTAGGGAGCCCACTACTGGCCTGCTATACCCCCAGGCATACACCCCCCGCCCCTGCTGAGCACCTGGCGCTCTCACGTCCTCTGCCAAGGAGTCGCCCCTGGAGACTCTCCTGAGTCCCCCAGAAACTGGGTGGCAGCTGACGGGCTGCAGTCCCAGCCTCCCCAGCGTGCGGGCACCCCTCCTCTGTGGATCCTTCCAGCGAAGGCAGCACGTCTGAGCAGAGGGCAAGGCTCCGTGGACGACATGGTGCAGTGGGTCAGGCTCGGGTCCCTGTCCCAGATGTGTCTGCCTCTTGCTGTGTGACCTTAGGAAGACTACACGACTTAACCTCTCTGTGCCTGGTCTCCCCAGGCCGTCCTTAGTCCATGTGTCTGGCACTAACTGGTCCTGTGGCCGGGACTCAATTCCCCCTTGTTCATGATGAGGGCCGACCCCATGAGTTTCCAGTCCAGCAGAACTGTCAGGGGTCTGCCACGGAGCGCCAGCAGGGAGCGCCCCACTCACTCTCAATGGCGCCCATGCCTCGGACGCCTGCGAAGATGAATAATTGACGTGTGGCATTTGATAAAGGCCAGAGGCCAGCCCTGGGACTCAGCCGGGGCGCCGGCTCATCTTTCCAGGGCGGGGCGGGGGGGGGCCGCACATGTCCTTTGTCATACTCCTTGACCACAGGGCTCAGCCAGACACCCCCTGGCTCCAGGCATGGAGTCGCTGGGTCACCACCGAATCCCAGAACTGCGGCCACCAAGCCCAGAGGCCCAGGAGTCCCAGGTTCTCATGTCACAGCCGCCTCCGGCTGCAGAGGCAGTCTCCCGGGCAGCAGCCCTCATGCTGGGGGGCGCTCTGAGCCCCCTCGTGTCCACCATCTCATTTTGTCCTCAGGGAGACCCGACAAGGTCAGAGCTCCCGCATCTTACAGAGGAAGACAGACAGCCGCAGGGGCCTGCTGCTGGCCGCATTGACCGGTGCTTCCGAGCCAAAGCCCTGGGTGCGGGGTGAGGAGGGGGCTTCCCAGCCCCAGCTCTGCCTGCAGCTGGCTGTGTGACCTCGGGCCTCAGTTTCCGTACCTGTCACGGGGGCTTCCCTCTTCCTACTGTTCTACAGAAGGCAGGCGGCGGGAAGAAGCAGGTGTCTTTCCTGTGCCTCGGGACCCGCCTCAGGCAGTCCTGCCCCAGGCCCTGAGCAGCCCGCAGGGGACCCTGCCCCACAGCTGCCACACCTGCCAGCCCTGCCCAGGGCCCAGCTGGGGGAGCTGGGAGGCCTGGGTCTGGAGCTGCCTCCTCTGCTGACGCCTGGGTCTCTGGGACTCGGGGTGCTTGTGGACAGAAGGGGCGAGCCCCAGGCTGAGGCCGCCCCATCTCACGTGCTCCCCTCCAGGACTTGGCTCTGGGAAGGAGCGCCCTGCCTCTCCCACACTGGCCTCATCTCCTGTCAGTGTCACCTGTCAGTGTCGCCATGCACACACCAAGGGGCCACCTGGGCCACCAAAGGAAGCACCGAGGGGGTCCCTTCCCAGCCAGCCTTTAAGGCCAAGGCCCCACGTTGCCTCTTCCAGGAAGTCCTCTGAGCCCTCAGTGGGGACCCAGTCAGGGCACAGATCTCTATTCTGTTCTTCGTTTCCCTGCCAGCCTGTGATGCCCCTCCCTGCCTGCACCCGCAGTCTCACGCCAGCCTCCAAAGTCCTGGAGGGTAGGATGGAGGCAGAGGGCCACATGGTGAGCAGGTAGCGGAGTCCCGGGGAGACAGGCTCCAACCTGAAGCCCCAGGCCCTGGCCCCAGCCCCCCAGACACAGGGCCCCTCCCACACTCACCAGTTGAACTCGTCATAGTCGTTACGGACTTCCCACCAGAAGTAGAGCCAGGTGAGTGTGAGGCCGAAGGTGAAGGTGAGGAGCAGGAACCACAGGCGCTCCCACTGGAGGGGGAGGGAGAGAACGAGGAGAGGGTCAGGTGGGCCCGGGGCACCCCCTCCAGTCGCCTCCCAAAGCAGGTCCCCTCCTGTCTTCTTTGGCCAAACCTGCTGGGTGGGATTCCTGCCCCTCTGGCACTGGTGGGAAACCAAAGCTCACTGGGGAAGTGGCCTGGCCAGCATTAGAGACCCCAAAGTCACACAGAATAGGGAGCCGGGAGCTGGGCGCACTCTGCTGGAGCCCGAGGCCCCCCAGGCTCCCGGCGGCCCCTGAGGCAGAGTTCACTTCCACCCTAAGCTCTGTCCTGGCTCCTCAGCCCTCATTTGTTCCACCCTCCCGCCTGCCCGCATAGCAGGTGCCATTCTCCCCACCCCCACCGCCAATATAGATGCCAAGTTAGCAGAGGATTCAGGAGCAGCTGCCCAGTCCTAGGACCGGAAGAAGCGCCAGGTTCTGCTCCCACCAGGGGATACCTGACCTCAGGGCCAGGCCAGGTCACGCCCTCCATGTCCAGCTAGGGCGGGAGAGACGCTGTCCCCACTGCTGCTGCTCCCTGAGCGCTTCCGCCTGAGCCCTCCCGCGTGAGTCCCCTTATCTCAGAAGCACAGCGCCACATCCTGCATCCTGGGAAAGTGCTGAGGTCATCAGAACAGATCAACAGCCTTGGGGGGAGGCCCGTGTGTGCAGAGAATCAGGACCACTCTGTCCTGAGCGCCTGCCGGAAGGTCGGCCCCCACTCTGCCACAGAGCAGAGCTCCCACTGCCCAGCTGGGCTAAGGGCTAACCCGTCCCAGGTCAACCTCCTCATGGCTCCTCACTGCCTCGCCAAGCAGCAAGGCCCCCCCGCGCGGCTGTGGCCCCCTGTTCTCTCCAGCTCCATTCTCCCTCCCCCAGCTCCACCCACCTGCAAGGGCCACCGCCAATATTCCCGTTCATCTTTGTCAAATGTCACCTCCCCAGGGAAGCCTTTCTGGATTTCACCTGCCACCCTCGTGCCCTCCTCTGAGCCGTGCAGTAGCCGTGTCCCCATCATTAAACTCATACTCTGTGCACTGCGACCTAGTCACGCGACTGTGCCCCCCCAAACCAGAGTGAGTTCCTAAGGGAGGACACTGGGCTGGCCTCCCATCCACGGTGTGCAATGCCAGCTAGCAGGGGCGAGCGGGAAGAGGAAGAAGCCTCCCACCGCCCAGAACACCTCCATCCCACAGCACAGGGCTTAGAGGGGTGTCTGGAGCCAGACGGCCGGGAACTCCACACCCCAGCCTGCCACACACAAGCTGTACTGCCCAGGCGGGGTCCTCGCCTGGAACTGAACTCGGGAGTAGCGCCGACGGCGCCTGTGTTGCGGTGCAGGGGTAGGGCAGCCACTTGGGACGTCCGCATCTGATACTGGAGTGACTGGGATGGAGTCCTGCTTCCTCTTCCCATCCACCCCTGCTGGTGCACACCTTGTGAGGCAGCAGCCCAAGTACTTGGCTTCCTGCTACCCATGCGGGAGAGCAGCATGGAGTTCTAGACTTCTGGCTTCTGCCTGGCCCAGCCGGCTGTGGTGGGCATGTGGGGTGTAAACCAGCAGATGGAAGTGCTCTCTCTCCCACCCCATCCCTCTCTCTCTCCCCCTCTGACTCTGCCTTTCAAATAAACAAATACAACAAAACTTTAACAAAACACATCAGCACTTGCACCATGCGGTAGCTGTGAGGATTCAATGAGATAAAGCAGGTGGGCAGAACCACGCCTGGCCAGCAGCAGGTGCACCATCTGCCCCTCTCCAGCACAGGGGCAGTAGTCTGAGCGCCTCTCCTGCCCAGGAGGGACACCGGGCGGAGGCGACCTGTGCTTGGGGCAGTAGCTGTCACCACTCACAGTCCGGTGCAGAGCCAGGCTGCCTTACTTAGCCCCACTCCACACACACACACAGAAAGGCAAGGAAATGTGGTCCTCCCAGCAGCAGTGGATAGGGGCTGGGAGCTGGCTGCTTGGCCCGCCTGGACACTGACTGGCAGGGCCCCAAGTCCAGGGGCGGAGGAAGCCTGGTTAGGAGTGAGGTGGGCCGTGTGCCTTCCTGGGGAGCCAGCAGCCAGAGAACAGTCAGGCACATCTTGGGGTGCAGCTAGGCCAAGGCGGGCTCGTACTGCCACATCAGAGCCCACACCCTCGCCCCAACATCTCGCCCTCGCCAGCCAGCACCCCGGGTCCAGTCCTTCTAGAAGACCCTCTCTCTGCCCTGTGTTCTCCTTTGCTCCCTGCAGTACCTGCTTCCTGCAGGGCGCCGCTGGTGGGTCACAGGCCACCTTGGACACCTGGGTCTCCCACAGGGTGGGCCATGTGTCCAGTCTGACTGCCCTCTGGTCCCGTCATACCCTGGCCGGAGAATCTTTCTGGCCAGATGCCAGAGCACGCACGCCCTGCCCCATCCTCTGCCCCTGGAGCTGCCACACCCGCACTCTGCCAGCTGAATTTCCCGTCCTGCCCCAAGCAAGCTCTTTCTTTTCTTTTTTCTTTTCTTTTTTTTTTTTTTTTTTTTTTTTTTTTTTTTTGACAGGCAGAGTGGACAGTGAGAGAGAGAGACAGAGAGAAAGGTCTTCCTTTTGCCGTTGGTTCACCCTCCAATAGCCGCTGCGGCCAGCGCACTGCGCTGATCCGATGGCAGGAGCCAGGTGCTTCTCCTGGTCTCCCATGGGGTGCAGGGCCCAAGCACTTGGGCCATCCTCCACTGCACTCCCGGGCCACAGCAGAGAGCTGGCCTGGAAGAGGGGCAACCGGGACAGAATCCAGCGCCCTGACCGGGACTAGAACCCGGTGTGCCGGCGCCGCTAGGTGGAGGATTAGCCTATTGAGCCGTGGCGCCGGCCCCAAGCAAGCTCTTTCAAGCCACACCCCCACTGGCAAAGCAGCCCTTCGCCCTGCAGCCTCTGTGTTGGCGGACGCCTGCCCCTCAGTGCCCCCTCAGCCCTGGCACCCATCTCGGTCACCGCAGACCCCACAGTTCTGCAGCTGTCCCTCTCTCTGTGGCTCCCCTCTCCGCAGTCAGCGCTGAGGAGGACTTGATAAGGAAATGCAAGAGGAGGACCCCTCCTCCCTGCTGCGGATTAGCAGGCCCACCCAGGAGAGAGCTCCCTGAGGGCCAAGCACCCCCGCCCCACCCAGGAGCCCTGGGTCTCCCGTGCCTAGGCCAGTGGGGCTGGTGGCCATCTGCCCAGCTCCACAGGTCCCCAGGGGCCTGCGATTTGAGAGGGTAGGGAACCTGCTGTGACAGGTGTGATGCAGGACCAGGGCAGCACTGACAGGGACCAAGGGAGAATGAACACTGAACCCTGGAGCCAGGCCCTTGGGGGTGGGGCGTGAGCAGCCAGGTGTCGGCTGGGCCTAAACCACAGGGATCTCGGGGTCCAACTACCTGGCCCCGGGCATGGGTTGGGGCTGGGGGGCCCCAGGGATAGGGGCCCCAGGGATAAGAGCCCCGTGGGCTAGTAGTCTGATGGGGGTGGGAAGAGGCCCCAACTGCAGGGGCAGGAGCCTGTGGGGTCACTCGAAAACAATCAGAGGAAAAACCTGAATGGCAGGGGCTGGAAGCTGGGGGAAGGGGAGTTGGCAGAGGAAGTGGCCTGCGGAGCCGGCCAGGCCGATAAAGAGGCCCCAGATGGCGCCCAGGCCCAGTGCAGAGAGAGAGGCAGGTGCCCCCACCCCCACCCCGTCCGCTGTCCCCGCCAAGACCACGCCGAAAGGGATCAGGGATGAGACCCTCGGGCCTGCCCTCCTGTTTCTCTCACTTAGGGTCTTTGTCCCCATTATACAGAGGCTAGAGAAGGGCCACCCCGCACCCAGCAGGCCAAGCCCTGCCCCACATGAGGAATCCCCTCCCACAGTGGGTCCCGGGTTGCAGCTGGGTGCAGAGCTGGGGGAGGTGCCTGGCTGCCTGGGCGAGTGCAGGTGAGTCAGCAGGGTCCCAAGGAGCAGAGTGGGGACGGGATTGAGCCCCAGGGTCCTTCCCAGGGTCTGCCACCCCAGGGGTGGTGACACAGGCCCAGTCTGGGTCTCTCTTCTCTCTCCCTGGGGCTGGGGCCAGGCCCAGGCCAGGCCTCCCACTCCCTCAGGAAGCCTCCCTCCCTTGCAGGCCCCCACAGGTCCTTCCCACCGACCCCGGCGCCCATCAACACTGCAGGGAAGGCAAGGGCATGGGCCCTGCACACCTGGCTCTGCCCTTTGGTCCTCGGAGCCTTGGTTTGCACACCTGTGAAATGGGCATAATAACCCCTGATAATGACTCCATAATACATGAGCAGATAAACATCAGGTAGCATGCAGTAGGGCTAGCATAAGGCACGGTTTGCTGAGCCGTGGACTCTGCCAAGGTGGGGATGGCTGGGGCATCTCTGCCTCCCCTGGGCCAGCATCGCGCTGGGACCTGGGGTGGTTCTTAGATACAGAGCGAGGAACAGAAGGAAAAACTGGGAGACGGCGGGAGGCCTTGTGACCTGTGGCTGGGGCCATCGTCCAAGCCCCACATCTGTCCTGAGGCTCCCCCTCGGGGGTGCCTGTGAACCAGAGGAAGGAGCTCCCAGGATACCCAGGCCTCCTTCCTGTCAGAACCCTGGCAGCCGCTGGGGGCCAGACTGAGGCTGGGTGAGGCTGGGGTCAGGCAGTCCCTGGGCTCGCCCAGACCCCAGCAGGAGTGTGCAGGAGGCTGCCTGGACAAGGGCCAGACAGGAAGAGAGCGGCCAGGGAGAGGCATGGGCCCGAGGCCCCAGCCCTGCTCCCAGGGCACAGAGGCCTAGCTCTGGGGGCTGCGTGCATTCAGCCCCACAGCCCTACCCCTCCCCACCTCTGGGAAGATGAGACCCTGCCTGCAGACCCCTCAGGGTATGTCAGGCCCCTCCTCACCCTCTGCATGCATGTGGGAGGGGGCATATGAGTGAGTAGTGGGCTCGGACGGTCACGGAGCAGGCTGCAGGGGCGGGGACGGCCCTGCTGCCGCCATCTGCCCTGCACTGCAGGCCCA